ATAGAGCTAGTTATTGGTATAGCGGGGATCTGAAATAACTGTATCAGGGGGTGTGAGACAACAGACTCTGATCCAGAGTGCTTGGGGTACATGCTCAATAAATGTTAGCCATTTTAATCTTTAGTTATTGTTTAGGAACTATCTTCCATTTGCTTAAGAAAACAGGTTGAAGAGGCGATGAGCCTCCTTTGCCTGATAAAGGGTGTCTCAGTTTCTTAGTTCAACTCTAACAGTAATACAAATGGATATTAAAGAACAGCAATATTTTCTCACAGTTCAGAAGCTAGAAGTTGGAATACAGGGTGTCCCTTTTTATTTCACCTTTCAGAAGCTGCGAGCAATCCTGTCTTCCTGGGCACATAGCTCCATGTGTCTCCATCACCTGTCTCCCTTTCTTGTGTGTCTACTCCACTCTTTGTCAGAAGTGATTAGGTTTAGTACTGACCCAACTCAGATATGGCCTAATTAACAATAACAAGGGGTAGGGGCCAGAATTTCAATACAGGCATATCCCTCAGATATTACAGGCTCAGTGCCAGACCACTGCCTTAAAGTGAACATTGCAATAAGTCACTTTTTTTTTGCTTCCCAATGCATATGAAAGTTGTTTATATGTAGTCTATTAAGTATACAATGCCATTATGAAAAATTCTGAAATTGAAAGTCTGTGAAAATTACCATGAACACATGCCTAGAAAAATGGTACCAACCAACTTGCTTGACATGGGGTTACCAGACCTTTGATTTGTAAAAATCACAATTATTTGCAAAGTGCAATGAAGGGCAATATAACAAGGTATGTGACCTGATCATCCCAAAAGAAAATAAAAATCCTCACAGCGAGCCAATAGACCATACCATCATCAACATGCCAAGAACGTCACTGGGTGCCGTCATCGACTTGATGGCATCTAACAATCCTGGTAAAGGACATCATGCTTGACAGCTGTTGTGAGGTGCCGCTGAGTAGGTCCAATGCAGAATAGAAAATAACACTGCCAGCCCTGTGCCATCATCAAAATTGTTATGTTTGAGGCCCTTGTAGCCCCGTGTCAATCCATCTTAAGACCCTTCCTCTGGCCCTCCACTTTAGCAAGCATAATGTCCTTCTCCAGAGGCTGGTTTCCCCTGATAACATGCTCAACATACATAAGATGAAGTCTCTCCAGACTTGTCCCGAAGAAGCACTCTGGCTGTACTTCTTCCAAGGCAGATCTGTATGTTCTTCTGCCAGTCCATGGCACTTTCAATATTCATCAGCACCACAATTCAAATGCATCAGTTCCTCTTTGCTTTCCTTACTCAGTGTCCAACTTTCACGTCTATATGAGGAGATTAAAAAACCATGGCTTGGGGCAGGCACATCTTAGTCCTCCCAAGTAATATCCTTGCTTTTCAACACTTTAACGTTTTGTGTAGCAGATTTATCCAACACAATGTGTCTTTCATCTCTTGACTGCTGCTTCCAAGAGCAATGATTGTGAATCCAAGCAAGACAACTTCCTTGACTTCAATCTTCTCTGCTTATCATGTTACCTTTTGGTTCAGTTGTGAAGAATTTTTTTTTACATTGAGTTGTAATCCATACCAAAGGCTGAAATCCTCATCTTCATCAACAAGTGCTTTAAGCCCTCCTTACTTTCAGCAAGCAAGGGTGTCATTCACATATTACAGGTTATGAATAAGCCTTCCTCCAATCCTGATGCCACCTTCTTCTTCATATAATCCACTTTCGTGGATTATTTGTTTAGCATACAGATTGAATAAACGATGAAAGGATACAGTCCTAAGGCACCCCTTTCCTGACTTTAAACCAGGGTTAAGTAGAAGGGCACTGAAAAAGATGGATGGACACAGTGGCTGCAACCATGAGCTCAAACAAAAGAACGATTGTAAGGATGGCACAGGACTGAGCAGCGTTTCACTCTTTTGTACACAGGGTTGCTGACTCGGAACTAACCCAATGACACCGAACAATAACAATCCTATATCCTATTAGATTGGAGTCTTGGTGGCGCCATGGGTTAAGTACGTGTAAGAAGATCCAGCCTCTAACAACTGAAGGGTCAGTAGGCGTAATTGTACAGTTATAGTATATAAAGATTAAAGTAAAGTCATAGAGGATAAGATAGGAGTAAAATAAAGGAGTCACATTTTATGGTAACATGCTCACCTTAATGCCCCTTGATGGTCCATGTGGAACAGGGAGAAGAGAATCTTTACTATCTTGGGACATTTATAGGTAGCCATAAGACAAGCATATTCAGTAGTTACTTATCACAA